TTTTTAGTCTTTCCCTCCCCCTGGCAAAAAAAAAAAAAAAAAAAAAGCATCTATAGCCTACAGGCTGTTGTCGCTTATACAGTTCATCACTTCAGTGCTGATTTTGTTGGAAGCATGCTTAATTAGAGCAACGCATGTCCTCAATGTTATCAGCGCAGCTACAGTGGTGCTTCTCTGCTGACTGACACTTTGCTCCTGGCCGGCGTTAATGGAGCCTCAGATAGCAGCTACAGCTGACCGGCCCAGACAACTTGGCAGAAACGTCAAGCTGCACTCTTCATCAAGACAACTGAAGCAGTGAGCACAGAAAGCAGTGCTGCCTCTTATTTGATGGCAAGGAGATACTGTATGTTCGTTTTAAAGTCTGTACAGGTGAACAGCAAACAAGCAACTCCATTAAACAGTAAGAGGTACCACCTAGTGGTGTAACCATGTGCTACAGCACATTTTCTGACCATGTCCTTGTATTCTGTAAATATACAGATGTGGACAAAATTGTTGGTACCCTTCTGTTAAACAAAGAGAAACTCACAATGGTTACTGAAATAACGCGAAACTGACAAAAGTAACAATAAATAAAAATTTACTGAAAATTAACTGACAATCAGTCATAGCTTTTGATTTGTGGTTCAACAGAAGCATTTAAAAAAAACAAACTAATGAAACTGGCCTGGACAGAAATGAAGGTACCCATAACTTAATATTTTGTTGCACAACCTTTTGAGGTAATCACTGCTATCAAGCGATTTCTGTAACTCTCAATGAGACTTCTGCATCTGTCGACAGGTATTTTGGCCCACTCCTCCTGAGCCAGCTGCTCCAGCTGTCTCAGGTTGGAAGGATGCCTTCTCCAGACTGCATGTTTCAGCTCTTTCCACAGATGTTCAATATGATTTAGATCAGGGCTCATAGAAGGCCACTTCAGAACAGTCCAATGTTTTCTTCTTAGCCATTCTTGGGTGTTTTTAGCTGTGTGTTTTGGGTCATTATCCTGTTGAAGGACTCATGACCTGCAACTGAGACCAAGGGTTCTGACAATGGGCAGTGCAGCACATTTTGCTCCAGAATGCCTTGATAGTCCTGAGATTTCATTGTACCCTGCACAGACTCAAGACACCCTGTGCCAGATACAGTAAAGCAGCCCCAGAACATAACTGAGACTCATCCATGTTTCACAGTAGGTACAGTGTTCTTTTCTTTGTATGCTTCATGTGAACATAGAGCTGATGTGACTTGCCAAACAGTTCCAGTTTTGTCTCATCTGTCCAAAGGACATTCTCCCAGAAGCTTTGTGGCTGGTCAATATGCATTTTGGCAAATTCCATTCTCGCTTTTTTATGATTTGCTTTCAACAGTGGAGTCCTCCTCGGTCGTCTTCGATGAAGTCCACTGTGGCTGAGACAGCGAGGGATGGTGCGATCTGACACTGATGTACCTTGACCTTGGAGTTCACCTCTAATCTCTTTGGAAGTTGTTCTGGGCTCTTTGGTTACCATTCACATTATCCGTCTCCTCAATTTGTCATCAATTCAGTTTTTCTTTTTTAATAAATCTGCAAAAATGTCAAAAATTCTGTGTTTTTCTGTCAATATGGGGTGCTGTGTGAACTTAAATGATTTTAGCATATGGCTGCAATATAACAAAGAGTGAAAAATTTAAGGGGTCTGAATACTTTCCGTACCCACTGTAGTCACAGGAACATCGAGCTGCTTGGAGATGGTTTTATAGCCTTTACCTTTAACATGTTTGTCTATAATTTTCTTTCTAATCTCCTGAGACAAGCTTTCTGTGGTCCATGTTCAGTGTGGTACACACCATGATACCAAACAGCACAGTGACTACTTTTCACCCTCTAAATAGACAGACTGAATTATTACAAGTCTGAAAACACCTGTGATGCTAATTAGAGGACACACTTCAGTTTAACATGTCTCTATGGTCAAATTATTTTCAATCCTTTCTAGGGGTACCATCATTTTTGTCCAGGCCAGTTTCATTAGTTTCTTTTTTTTAATTCTTTAGTTGAACCACAATTCAAAAGCAATGACTGATTTTCATTAGTTAATTTTCAGTAAATTCTTATTTATTATTACTTTTGTCAGTTTCACGTTATTTCAGTGACCATTGTGAGTTTCTCTTTGTTTAACAGAAGGGTACCAACAATTTTGTCCACGTCTGTAGTTATAAATCGATTAAATTCTTGATGGCAATTAATCAATTATTGATTACTCACTGACTAACTTAGTCACTTTTGGTGGCAGTTGGTGGAATAAATTTTTTTCCTCACAATTCTTGGAAAAATACAGATTAAAAAGGGTAAAACATTTTGACACTTGCTAATCTAATACAGCTAAAATTAAGAGCAAAGCAAACGAAGAAAATGCCATTTAAATAAATGTATACAAGAGTTAATAATCTTCTAAACTTTTCAGAGAAACCAGAAAAAAGAATGCACTAACCCTGTAATGGGCCAACTGTAGGGCAATCTGAATGAAAGCATCAGGACTGGTGCGGCACTTCTTAATCAGACCCTTGCCAAAGTCAGTGAATGGGAAACAGTGGCAGTCCACATCATCTGCCAGAGCCCTGGCTACTGTCAGAGAGCTCTCGATGACCTCCTGGCACTAGAGGAAATGACAGTAGTGTGTTAAACTAGGCATGACATTACTGTCAACATGTTCATTAGACAACATTATTATTGAGATAGTTCTTAACTTACAGTGAGTAAGTTATTAAACTATTAAGGCAACATCACAAATTTTAATATTGCTTTTTAAATGTAAAGTATCCAGCAGGTTTATGTATCTATACATAAGCATGCATACTTAAAATGTATGAAATAAAAATACTAACACTGGTGCATATAGTTCAAACCAGCAGCAGATGGGAAAAAAACCTATGAATATCAAAACTGAGGTATGATCCATGGGTATGAGACATGTTAAAGCAGACTTGCCTCAGTAGGGATGTCCCACTGCAGCCTCAGAGGACCTGGGAGGTTGGGGTGTGGCTCCCCACAGCAGTGACCATCCTCAGTATACCCCAGTTTAGGGTCCATAGAAAGTACATGCTGCAAAGATGTAAAAATATTATGTCTAATAATGACTAACTCAATTAAATGGCAGATTTCAAACTGAGTATTTGCTCTTTATCATTTATGTAGTAAAAACTTGTAAGTATAAACACTGTGCCAATCAGAAAATTTAAACTTCTACTTATTCTTTTATGACTGTATTAATTTATCGTACTAAAGTTAGATTTCTTTCCTCAAGACTCCTTTCTGAAAAACAGGAAATCTGGTTTTATGATAACGCCAAACAATAAATAACTTATTCTAAATGCTTGTTGATTATACGACATACTTATAAGATGGGTAAAAAACTAAACCGACTTACCTCCCACAGATGGCCAATGACTGGAGCATCTGCCCAGGAATGCTCTGCATTTAGTCCCATGGTGCCATTGTTGAAAATTATCATGTTAAAAGATTTGTCGAACCACCTAAGCGCAAACAAATATTGAACACCTTTAGTTTATTTACACATAAACTTGTATAACACACCTTTTCATAGTCCGCAATAAAATATATCAACCTTATCTGTCCCACCTGTCGTAGCATTTTCCATGGAGCAGGGACTTGGAAAAACTGTCCAGCGACTTCACTGGCTTTCCTGCATCATAGAGCTGCTCCGTATCATCGAGAGTTACAAAGAAGGCTGCCTTCTCTACGGCATCCAAGGACTGCTTGTTTTTGCCACGGCTGAAGTAGGCTTCACGAGCCTTTGCCCACGGAGTCCTGCAGAATGTTAAAGAACAGAAAATCTGGTACTGATATAATGGAATCATCTCTCACTTAGTCAGTATGAGAAAACTCTCCTTTTCTGCTCTCAAAAAGTTTTGTAACACTGGTGAGCTCTGACGATCCCTTTTTGCCATATGCTTAACAGACTTCTCTGTGTTGGCACAGTCTGCAGACTCCTCCACTATTAACAGTGCTCTAACATTAGCAGCTGTAGAACTAAAAAGGATTTAAAAAATGTCCTTTACTAAATAATAAATCAGCAAAGTCCTTTTAATTGAAAGTGCTCCTGTTTTCCTTCTTTCATAAAATAAAAGTGGCCAGCCATAATGTAAGCATGTGCAAAAAAAAAAAAACTGTCATGAACTGTTACTGTTTGTACAACTGTTAAAACATAAAATAAAGCAGCAGTCAGTAGCAGTCCTTTTACGAAATATTACTGCAGCAGCTGGATCTTATAAACCAAACAAGTCACACTCACAGTGGAACATGAGTGTTTTAGTTCTCCCTAGGCAGGTTTAATTTTATCTGTTTGATGGCGGTGCTGACCGGTTGAGTTCTCAGTGTCACTGGACCAGTTGAAGCAGGTATCCCCTCTGACCACCGGGGACAGTAGTGTGCACATTGCTGCTTGGTGCACCAGAACAAGGATAAGAGGATGGCAAAATACACTAGAACAAGCCACATAAGGTGAGATCTGTACTTTACTGGAGGTATTTTTCCAAACACTGTGGTCTACTTTTTCACAGCAAACCCAATTCAATATTAAATAATATTAAACACTAACACATTTTCTGTCCAAGAGTAACATATAGACAGTCATAACATGACTGTGAAATACCAACTGATTGCATTACAGAAACTGCATTACTTTTCAGTTCTACCTGCACAGAATAAACGTGAAATACAATTTTTAATCTATGCCACTTCTTAGCGTTAGCAATAGTAGCTTCCATGCTTTTTGAGACGGTTTTCTTTTTTCAACAGTGATTTATTTATTTTTAATTAGCATATGCATTTAATTTCAATTTTATATCAAACTTGAGGAATCCTCCGCAAAATTTGCTTGAAATTTAAAAATCAATATTTTATCAAATTTTTGTCAAGTTTAAATATTGATATCTGCTGCTGTTTTGGTTGGGCTTTAGTCAGTGCTGTGCAAAATGTATCAATTCTTGTATGTATTCAGTATATTAACACCATATAATGTGCAAAACAGTTATAACATCATTAAATGTGTGGCATTCTACTTGGCTTGCAACACACATACAAAATCCACTTCCAGGCCTACATGTGTATATAAGCCAGTAGGATTTATACCACACTGTGACTGTCCAGTTATTCTTCTTCCATTTCCACAAGACTTATGTTTGAGAAATGAAAATTCAAACAACTGAGAAGTGGTAAGTCTGTCAGACGCCACGCAGCATTTGGGAGACATGCTGGTACAGGCCTTAGCTCTCTCCGCACTACAACCCACCTTTCCCCTGCAGTAAGTGCAGCTAGCCTCTCCTCTCCTGGAGAGGGCTCTGACATGTCTGCCAGGATCCTCTCCATCTGCTGCTCTATTTCCCGTGGCAAAAGCAGCCGCCCATCATAAAACATCCACACCTTGAAGAATCGGCCCTTATGGTACACAGCAATGTGTTTGCTCTCGTTCATGTGCTGAATGGTATCTGGGAGAGAGGGATCGATTATAAGAAGGGAGGAAAAGGAGGACAACAGAGAGAGAAAGACAAGTGGATGGGTGTTGGGGTGGTATCAGGGAGAGTTGGTTCATGTGTACATGTGCCTTATGCAGTTTATAATACAAGACTGTATGCAATTAAAATGTCATTGCTGCCAATACATTCCCATTAAACCAAACTAAAGAAGACGGCAGTTTAAGTATGAATATCACAGCATTTCATTTGGTGTTAGTAACCAATTCTTGGTCCCAGTGGTGTCAAATAATGAGATATCCTCAATAGCAGATGTTCATGAGGGCAAAACAGATTTTCAGAGCTAGTTCTTTTATTTTATGAAGTTATATTCATTAAAATGACAAAAAATGAATTCAAAGTGATAGCATATAATGGATGAGATTATTCCATTCCAAAACTACAGCTGATTGAAAGGAGAAGTGCAGAAAGTGACATGAAAAGGGAATGTGCTGTCATTTGGGAACAAGTCAGTGGTTTGAGTACAATGGGTTAAGGCAATGTTTGCTTGAACAGAAATGTGGACAACCTAGAGAAACAAATTCCAAGGTACTGTTTGCATCTTTGATTTATGATACTGTGTTCAAACAAGCATTGCCTTTGTTACAGGCAAGACAAAGGACAGGACCCCAAGACCAACAATCTCATATCCAAGAAATGCATAGTCTGTGCTTCCCCTTACAGTAAGAACACCTCTAGCAATGAGAAGATGGGACTGACTGCTAAGAGCCCATTCTTAAATGAACTGGCTTTGCAAATTACACTAAGAACTAATTTCCATTTTAACATTGTAAAACCTATCTTTACTTAAAACTCATCACTTTTCGCACTGAATCTCACTGCTCTTCTTATGCATTCCAAATAATTTAATTAGCTAGGACTGAATTCTGCCCTCTACAGCCAGAAGGATTGAAGCCGTCTGTCTGCATGTTCTATTAATGTACAGATTTCAGCTTACATTTAAATGATATCACAGCTCAAGGTCTTGTCCCCAGAGCTTTGAGCTTTCATGTGATCCGAGTGTTACTGTACGCCATGCATTTGAAGTCTGAGCATGCATGTTACATATCATGGTAGTTCTTTTTTGATTGAGCAATAACTATAAATCCCATGTTTCAGCAAAATTCATGTTTAAGTTAGTTTAAACAACCACATCATAAAAGTCACAGAATGGCTTCCTGCACTCTTACAGGTCATGTATTATTCTCAGATAGTGCATGCCCATTAGCATCATCCAACAATTCAAGGTGATTATTGTATTTCAGTGTCTCACTCCATGGAACACGGATTAAACTTTGGGGAAATAAAACCTATAAATTCACAAATATATTACCACAAAGGCTCAGCACTGTGTGCCATTTCCAGGTTTTACCTTAACCATACCACTGTTTTACCTTCTCAAATTTAAATACTAGATTTCAGTCACATACAAATTGACGTGGGGGGGGCTGCTGTGGCTCAGGACGTAGAGCGGGTCGTTTCCTAACCGGAGGATTAGCGGTTCGATTCCCGGCTTGTCCAGTCAACATGTCAAGGTGTCCTTGAGCAAGACACTGAACCCCCAGTTGCTCCCAGTGATGTCACCAGTGTGTGAATGCATGAGTGCTTGGGAGTGCGAATGGGTGAATGGCCGAATAATGTGAAAGCGCTTTGAGTGTGCTGTATACTATAAGGCGCTATACAAGTATACGACCATTTACATGTGCATAGACCAGCACACATTAATGCATTATTAACTCATGGAAATCAGATTATTTCTAATTCAAAACTGATGACCAAATGTTCCAAGGAGAAGTACAGTAGGAGTAGTGTGGAGGTGGCGGCACTGCTAAAGACTCTACCTGTGTCTACACCTGGGATACGACTGGTGTTGAACAAACGCTCGTATTGGGCTGAGCACATGGGAATAGTATGTTGGAGCATGAGCTGAAAAGCAAAAGGGGAGAGACAAACATACAGAGATGACAAACTAAATAACGAAAATCCCCAGAGCTGCAGACATACACAGAGACATGGACAGGGACAGGAGCATGAATGACGTGGAGAAGGAGTGAACAGGACCGGTTTGATAAGCAGTCTTAAGGAACAGGAGAACCCTCAGAAAGATGTCAAGGAGGGAGTCATGAGCAGGGTCCAGAAACCAGTGGCCTGCTACCTCAATGCCACCAGCAAAGCCCTGATATGACAGCAGGACTTCAGCTAAATTGTAGATACTTTCAAGATTTTTAGACCTAACAAATGACTTTAAATAATTTGAATACAGATATCTATGAAAGCCAGTGAGACAGGACTGGTTCAGGGCTATGCTGATGAGAATGAGCCTAGGAGTCAGGGTTTCAAAGGATGTTGCTGCGGCGGTGGCTAGGGTCACAAGTTAGGAGGTCAGAGGGCACAATGGATATGTACCCTCCTCTTACCTGTCTCCAAACCAGGGACGCGGGTGGTGTTAAACATCCGCTCCCACTGAGCCGAACACAAAGGAACCTTGTTCGCCAGCAAGTATATCTAACGCAGCATCCAACACAGCGCAGGGACAAAACAGTGAAACAGAGACAACCAAATGTGAGTTTGTAACAAAGTGGGTTCATGCATTGGTGTTTGTACATATGTATGCAGTCAGTGTTTGTAAGAGAGCAGTGTGTGTTTATGCAACATGCTGCAGAATGTGTGCCTGCATTGTGCAGAGGTACTATGAAGAATCGGCACTTCATCATGCAGGCTAGTAAAGGAAATACTGACAGAGCAGTGGGAAAAGATGATGCTACTGTGTGTCAGTAAAAGTCACCAGCATTCTTTAGGCCTTATTCACCAAGCCTTCAGAAAATGTTACTGTAACTGCAGCTGTACCTTCATCAAAACAAGGAAAAAGCTCAGTGCATGGCTCATTTCACAAAGTTAGTCATAGTGAGCTGAGGCCGATATCAAGTTTCTGCATAATCACTGGTGAGACTATGAACAAACGTACAGTACAAAGAAATGTTTATTGAAGATGATCTGCTCTCATTGTAATCTTAAAAGTCAAACACACTGAGATAATGGTGATTAAGCAATATACAGTATATCCGACCATATCAATCATAGGATTGATGTGGTCAGATATGTACTAAGGTATTACTGGATCACAAACTTAACAAGTAAAACAGAAAGACAGTTCTATACTCACTGGTTTGATCTGGGCTCTGTCCAGTTTTCTCCTGTAAAGCATGATGGCATGGATGGTATTACCTGCCCTGGCAGCCTGGATGGGGGTGGGGAACACATACAGGAAATCCTGGAGAAAATATAAAAAGATTTAAAATACTGTAAAATAAATAAATCAGTCACATTTCAACCAATGCTTTCATGCAGTTTACCCCCAATGTTACACTGTCTTAAGTAACAAGGGCAAGAGGTGACCTGTAAACGCAAAGAGTTCCAAAAACAGTGTTACTTAGTGATCCATCTGTAAATTCTTCTTAGATATTTTGGTCTGGAACTGTGTGCACATGCACAGTAGCAAGTATAACCTGCTATTCCAAATACTGTATGTGTGTTGACCCCAATACTACATCTACCTCCCTTTTGAGACACAGCTTTGTAAGAAAGAGCAAAGGTGCATTTTGGGTACAATGCAAAACACATATTTCAATGGTCCTAGTATTTTAAAGTCCCACTTATCCTGTATACTGCTTTGTAACTGCAGACAGTATAAACAGACAGCTCAACAGTCATGTATCTGTAGCAACAAGTGACCCATGTCTGTAACAGTAACAGTCCAGTCTACTGTCTCACCTATCCAGGCAGAAACATGGAGAGATGTGGATTTGTGCCAGAGTCTGTGACAGATCATCAGTTGTGGATAGTATTCTTGAGTTCACTGGGGCCATGATCATACATCTGACACAGGTTTGGAGCCGTCAAATTGTAGCAGATTGTAGGGTTTATACCGCTGTGTGTATCTTAATGTTACATAGGAAAAAACAAAATTTTCTACCCAAGTGCTCACAGCCATAGAGAACATTACTCCTGTATATAACTCAACTTTCCATAGCTGTGTTTTAGGACGCAGTACTCCAAAAGGGTCACACAAAACCTGAAAAACTATGTTGGCATCCATGATACGTCTCTGTACTGATTTGTCCGACAGATCCTTCTCTTTTATGCTTGGAGACGCCTCTTCCTCATGGGCGCAATCCTCCAGGGGTCTTTTTCTGGGCCTTCTTTTATTCACTATGTACAGGCCATACATGGGTTAATGATGTGCAGAAATAATATCTACTTTCATTTATATGTGGGCAATTCACAGCTGTATATTAAGTTCCACTAAAGCCTTGTAACACCAATGTTTCATCTATTTATGTTCTGCCATGTGAAAACTAACATCAATTTCCAGTAACTGAATGATGCCAAAT